GGTAGACGCGGCACTGATGAAGTCGCTCAAGGAGCCGCTGATGGTCAAGTACAGCAAGGCGCGCTTCTCGCTATCCAAGGCCGACAAGCCGCACCTGATGAAGTGCTAGGCAGCCTCAATGCCCCCACGTCCCCCCTCTGCCGGCTGGACTGTCGTCGTGTGAGCGCGGTTGCGGCGTGCAGTGAGGTCGTCTGTCTGTGTTTTGCTAGACCGATACACCCTCTTGAGGTCGTTGACCGCTGAGACAGCCACCGTGCACCGAGCCAGAGCCACCGAGCCAGAGGCACGCCTACGCGGGCTTTATGGCCTGAGACCGGCCAGCGCGGGTCCCCAGACCTGCCACGCGCACACGCCGCAAAACGGCCAAGCGCCAACGGCAGTCGGCACGATCCACGAACCGCCGCGCCCGCGGCGCGGCCGGGGCGCGGGGGCGCCGGCGGCGGCTCGTCCTCGTCCGCTCGGCCTCGGGGCCGCGCGGCCGCGGGCGAGAGCCGAGATGCCGAACAGCAAACGTGAACCCTCCGGTGCCGCTGCCGCGCGGGGGCGTGAGCGAGCTCACTCAGCGACACACACACGCACCAGCCACCACCCACCACGACGCGCGCGCGCTTTACGTTTACCCATTACCGCGTGCGGACTGGTGACTGCGGACTGCTAGGCCGGTCGCTCCCCCGTCTTTGGGCCCTGTTGAGTCGTTTCGGAAGTTGAAGTTGGCGCATCACAAAGAACCCAAATCCAACCCTGCCAACCGAGCAAGCCCATGGGGGACGCGAGGTCTTGCTCCACCTTCTCGGCGCTCGCGTCGCCCAACCTGAGAGCCTCATCCGCCATGCCGGGGCACATCTTGACCGGAGCCGGTCACATGTCCATCGTGCCCAAGACGGGGCACGGTCGACTCGACCGCGGCCGATGGCACCGGCCCAACGGCCGACCAAGATTTTACGCCTCCGAACGCCGGGCCGGTGAGGTGGCGGGTCGGGCGGCACGGAAAATCGGTGGCTGACAACGACTTTTTGAGGCCATCGGTTTGAGGTCTGCAGACATTTTCTGGATGATCTCGCATTTCCCGAGGCGTAATCGCAGATCCAGACGGCCCAGCAGGTGGGCGCTGCAGGCGAGCCGCCTCACATCCTTCGCCCCCCCCGTCGCTCACGCTGCCTCTGAAGCACCGGACCACCCCCCCCGCGCCCAGGCGGCCTAGCTGCCGCGGGCTCCACCCACACGGGCCACCATCAGCGCCGCCCGACGGCTCAGAACCTCTCTCTTTAGGTCCCACAAAAGGCGGCGAGCGAGCGGCGAGGCAGATGAATCGAGCTCTGGACGCATGCCGCGAGAGCTGTGAGGGTCGCAGCTCGGCCTCCATCTTGCCCGGTAGTGGCGCGTCGGCTTGCCGGCTCACGGGGGTCACTGCCCCTAGGTGCCGCCTCACCTCGCCTCTATGCACCCTTCACCCTCTAGCGCCTCACCCTGCCCGGTGCCGTGGTAGTGGCGGTGTCAGCCATGCTGGACCGGCGGCAGCGAGGCCGACGGGCGTGGCTGCGGCGACAACGGCGGCTTGGCCCGTGACGGCGACGGCGCTGACGGCAGAGCAGCTGCGGCCGGCACGGGCGGGTGCGGCCGAGCAGCGCGGCG